CTTAAGTAAAACGTGCCCTTGGCTAGCTGCGAGGATGCGTAGAATCGTTTGCGAGACCGATATTGAGAAATGCAATACAGGCCGATTATTAGATTACGGCGAGTTAGGTAATGATATTTCCTTTGGTTCCGTTTCGTGTTTTTACTCGGGCAACTACCTACAAATAAAAACTTAGAGAGAGAAACTTCCAGATTAACTTTGATCGCAATAACGTGTAAGTTCTCCGTTCAATTTTTACGATAGTCCAAGTTCAATCGTGCGATTTTAAAAGAGATCGCCGCAATCAAAAAGTACTGGATACTATAAAATCGGCCATTCGAGGGCAATGTCTAGGCATACTCAACTGTTATTAGTACAATAAATATTTACTTTGCCGTTACAACAAGTAAAGGGCACACAAACTTTCTGTCGTAAAACGGTCTTCGTTAAAAATCAGAGACGCTTAAATCGTTTAAATTGCTTACGAAAAAAACTCAATTAATAAGCGGAAAAATTTGCGTGTGCATGGTAGTTGAATTTTTTTAATTATTTCTGTGCACCAATACTCATAACTCAAGTTATTTCTTTTGACGCAAATTTTGAATGCGGTCGAGGTAAATACAACTTACAAGCTTCACTATCCTGAAAATTTCTATACTGCGACAACTGTACTACAGCTACAGCTGGTTTCAAGCGTTCTAACGTAGTGGCCCAAAGCGATCCAGTTTCAAATTTTTCTTGGAGGGAACATTTATTCAAAGAAGGGCGATGTCTGTAAGTTACTTTAATTTATTATTTGACGTAATTATAATATCATTCCAGGAATCGGTCTGTGGAAATCAATTACATGAAACATGCATTTAATCGTTATAATTGGATTTATACAAAGGAATTTGTTTATTTTTTCATTAGTTGGGCTTAGGAATTTCACTTTTGTATGAATTCAAATTTTGTTCAGCTATAAGGTGTGTGTGTGAATATCTTGTGTAAAAAATTGCCCGGGGTGTATTGTGCATAAAAAATTTAGATAAGGGAAATTAGAACTGATGGCTCGTGGCTACGAGATACGGTTTTTATTTGCTCTATTAATAGGAAACAAATTAATCTTTAAATCAGGAAAAATGGAAAGGAGAATGAAGTTGGTTTGTCAATATATGCAATTATTTATGTGGGAATTCGTATTTATTTTTATGCAGTCAAACCAGATCGCCAAGTTTTTGATTGATTGTGAAAATTTTTACCAGTGCCGTAGAGGATCCATTTCATTTAGTACGAACGAGGGTCTTCAACCCTTGTAAACTAACCGTAACTAAGCACAGAGAATGTTAAGCCAATGAAGTAGTAGTCGAAAAATGAGTGTGAATTACATCCCCAAAACTCCCCAAGTGTGCGTTTTATGCATTTGGTTCTTAACATCTACTAAGTATAATGAAATATCACGGGGTTGTTCAAAACCTATTTTTTATTTTCCAAGAAATTTGTGCGATAGATAATCTACCGCGATTAGGGCTTTGTGCGTAGGTGCACCATCCTGTTGAAACCAACAGTTTCCAACTTTTGTTTTTTTATGTGTTCCTTATTGTATATCAGTAATAAAAAAATGTTATGCCATACAGTACATACTTTTTTTACGGGCCATATAAAAAATAAAGTTGATGATATGATTTCTCCGAAACGAAACGTTGTATTGAAAATCTCTTAACGCTGTCTTGTAGAGCTCAAATAGTGGCAATGACAAGGTGTCTTTGATTGTTTCGTATCTGTTCAAATAAAACCAGAAAAGAACAAAAACGAAATTGGCAAATTTCGATTTGTCTGGCATATCTTCGGAAGTAACGGATTTTTTAGTTTTCTTTACAGCATCAAAATATCTGTTTAATTGCGCAACTTTTCTCTAATTGGACCATCGTGGTATCTTCTATGGTTGTGGGATCCCCATTATATAGACATCTTGGACACAGTGTATAGATGCTCAATTTAAAATAAGCAAGTTGGAATTAAATTCCCGTATAACCGAAAGTGACACCAACTTGGAAATATTTTATATGAATTCTTCTCATCGACATTAGTATATTATCAAATTTTCAATACCTCTGCAGGCTACGACCGACAAATCTGATTTGTCGAGTCGAACACTTGCCGAGCTCGCGCCCGGGGAAACCGGTTTAATAAAGATGGAAGATGTGATTGTACACTTTCTTGTATGAAAATGTTGTTGTTTCTTGTGGGTTTTTTTAACACGAGCGCCACTGGATCATTGGAAAGCTTATTTGACGTTGATTATGAATTATGCAATGAAAAATAATGTTTATTAGAGCGAAATTAATAAATGACTATTAAAATTCATAGCGGACCTGAAATAGTCGTCAGAATTCATGGCAAATAAGAAATAAAATAAAAGCAAAAATTGGACAAAAACAACAAGGTTAACTGAAACATACACATCCCTGTAAGAAATTCATAAATTGCATTCAGTAGGTAACAAATTTCTATTTAAAACCACAAGCAAATCATATGTAGTGATAAAAACCCCTTCAATCTTACTAACCTGAATAGGCCTCTTTCAGTGTTTTTCGTAAATGAGTTATTATTATTATTAACATGTAACTTCGTGTTAACCTCCTTTCGGAAATTGAGTGCTGGACTTTCATTGTCCCAAAAGTCGAAAACTCTACACCGCTATCGGCACGGAGACCACCGCAATGAGGCTCTTATTTAACCTCACAAATTGACGGATAACAGCAATAAGATTAACTTAGGACATTTCTTATCTTTTTACTGAATAAAAAATTTTAAGATGTTCCCCTGACTACACGCTAAAAACTGGCATTAAACATGAGCGCATTGTCGCATATCAAACGAAAGCTCAGTTCGCGAACTGTTCGGCAAAGTTTTTCATTTATTTATTTCATTTATTTGCCTTTATTTTTGAGTAAGCGGGGTTTCAGCCAAGGCGGCTCTACCAACCCAACCCACTATAGGTACATTTACAAATATCCATGCCCAAACCCGGAATCGAACCAGGGACCCTTAGCACCACAGTCCAACTTCAACTGAACTGCGCCACACGGGTGCAACGGGCAGCAAACGACGAGCAAGGAGAGATTACTCACTCTTTTCTACTCACAGTCTCGAAGCTCCCAAGAACAACCGAAATCATCCATTGAGTCACCATTGAGTATCATGAAAGTCGAATCCGTATAAGTAGGTACTCAGGTACCATCGAAATGTGGCATCATCGAAAACAGGCAACCATACTGTGCAGCAGGTTGTTCGTCTGTACACTGAACAAACAAGGAGTAGTAGATTTATTGATCTCAAACAAGTTCCTCTTCCGCACGTCTAAATAATGCATATTTACACTTCAACCCCGTCGTCGTCATAATGGAGAAAGTTTGCAAAAAGTGCAATAGCTGGCAATACTCATCTCTTTTCATCAAATAGCAACAATATAATGTAGGAATGTTATTGTAATTAGTTCAAATGTTGCTACCAAACACCTGCACGTCGGTTTTTCCAAGTGCGTTACTTATTTCCAATTTAGCAAAACACGTGTCCTTCCTGAAAAGTGTAGGAAAAAGGAAACGAAAATTCCTACTACCTACGTAATTTGGACAATGTGCAAACACGAAATTGGGCAGATAAACGTGGTTATCTTGCTACAAATTATAAATTAATGAAAGATGTCATTCAACTTTTACCATTCTAGTTGATATGCTGTAATTTTAATTTTTGAAAGGCTTTGAATTATATAGATCTATTTTAAGGAAGATTGTGCAAATCCTTGTGAATTGTCCAGCAGTGTTGACTTACGCAAAACTCGTTATCAGTCGTAAACACAGAGATTATTATTTCCAAACCCTGCCATTTTGAAATGAAGATAACACTCTAATTATATCAATTTCCTTTTCATCTCGTGCCTGTATGTGCACACTCAGATAATGAAAGTAGTATTTAAACAAGTTTTTAATATTTCAAGCGCAAATGGCAAAACGTCTCCTTCGTGCAAACATAGGTACTCAATGGGGTACGAATTTGGAAAAAGCTAGGAGATGCGGACATTTTTGTTTGGTGATAAAAGTGTTTAGTTTCGAGTAAACTCTTGCAAATCATTGTAATGCAACTGCATCGAGGAACATAGGATATCCAAAAAGCAGTAGAGGTTCATGGCATGATTTGATAACCGTCGAAGAAGCGAGAAAATGGATATATTTCACCTTGCAACTATTTTTCGTCACGTCACAACGCTGGACCTGAATCAATCAATTTCGGGATCACCTTTTCAATTGGGCGGGTCCTCATTTATTCTGCATATATGCAAGGGGGCATAATAGCACAGAAAAATTTCTGCCATCCCTTCTCCTTGTTGTGTTCAATGCCTTTCCGATGACAGTAGAAACTATGTTTACTTAAAAAAAGCATATAAAAATAGAAAAATTGTAGTTTCTTGGAAATGTTTAAAATTAGACGGATAAGCTAATTCATTTTCTCATGGCATTAAATATTTTAATAAACAAGTAATCTCGCAAGTAATGCATATATACCCACGGCCACGGTAGAAGGATACTATTGAACGTCTTTACTAAAATTAACCTAAGGATTGAAAAATCGAGTTAACATTTGCGACCTCCAAACTCAGAAGGTTGTTTCTGCATTTAAGTTTAAAAATATCTAGATTTAAATGACCGGCCCTAATCCATAACAACTGATTTAAGGAGCAAATTAATCTCGTACATGATGTTTCCTTATCGCTACAATGCCTTTGCTTAGATCTTATACTTTATAGTGTGAAAATGTAACTCAATAGTGAATAGACCATGGTTGCAAATTACGTATTTAATGTATGTATGTGTAAATTAGGAAATCTCTTAAATCTTTAGTATTTATATTTAATTAAAAAGGTCAAACGCTTACAAAAAGAAAAAACACGAGCTGGATGAATGATGACGCAGCTTATCATCTACACGAGATAATCTAAGGCACCAATACACCATTAAATTATTTACATAAATGAATAATGAAGCCGAAACGTCATACATTTTTCCTTCTGAAGGCTAGACCGGAAGATCAAACTCAAACTGATGGGATTGGAAATACAAATAAGCTACAAAAAATCAATCTTCTTTGGGACTTACTTGGTTTGTTGTTTAGTATCGCATTACTAACTGGAACTCTCCAATATTCTGTTTTATCTTCGACGCCATTGTGACCCGGCGGTACTGTTGAATCTTCTGTAACAAGTAAAAATAGATCACTTAGCCGAGTTTTTACTGATGGCCATTTCCAAGATAAAAAATATTCAATTTGAAACATATTTTAATATGAATATGAGGTGAAAAACCTTTTTGACATACGAAAATGTGCCTCTGAAATCTTGCGATCGGAACGGATCTCGTCCCCGGTTAAACTTGACTCGGTAGTGAACTAAAGGAATAATTTGCGTCAAAATCAAAGTTATCGGCCAAATTTATCTGGCGCGATGCTTCTCAGGAGCAAATATTTCGGCGACCAGTACTCAATTACTCATAAACGAATTTCCGGATCGAGTTTACATATGTAGTTGCGAGTTTTTGGAGCCATTTAATTTAGGGAGAACGAATATGTGGGAAGGAATTCTCATGAGCGAATTTAACCATGCAGCAAGTATTTTTGAGGGAAATATCTCGAAGATAGTTTCGGAGAAATAATTTGAATGCCAGTTCTGTAATACATCAATCCAATTTTTATACGGCAGAAGTTCCGGATTGCGGATTTGAAGTATCGAAACGAAATTTGCCCAGCAAACTTACTCGAGGAGATTCAATCAAGGCTGCTCTACTAACCCACTATACATTTACAAAGATTCGCGCCCGAACACATTTTCGAACTACGGACCCTCCGTACCAAAGTCGAGCTTCCACTCCACTGCGAATTGGGAGCGCAAATATTCCTAAAACTTTTGAGTCCGAAGCTACAAGTTCCAATTATTCTGAAGCCAAGTTTTCATGGGGTCCAATATACCGCTGGGCGACTTTTGGGGTCAAGTCATCGGAATAGAATTTACTATATAGGAATGAGCATTCATTAATTCAAGGGACGCTTCTTCGCCGGGCCGCGTATTCGTAAATAGCAGACACGTTATCCCTTCAGAAAATTATGCATTTTTGTGCAACTGCTTTTCGAACAAATGTGAGGGACAATCTTAAACCTAATCTCCAACTTCGCTGAATTGGGATAGGCATTTTTGTGAAAACAAAAAAACTTTTCATAGAAAGACCATTATGAGACAGATTCAATTGTGATTAAACTGAATACGCGTTCCGAAACTGAAAGCGAATTTCCTTGTTGGCGACTATTTCGGAAACGAGTCAACGGGGGTGTATGTTTTAGGGTTAGCCTTTGGGAGCAAATATAGGGTGTCAAAAGTCAAGTGTACGCATTGTGTTGACCAGGTTTAATCGCATCATGTTCCTTTGCTTATTTGTGACACTAGGTTTCTATCAGAGGTTGGAACCCATGTGAAATATAGGTTCCGGTTCCGAACTATTTAGGTAAAATTATTTTTAGGGGTTCTGGTACCGGTTCCGGTTCTGTGGCTTCAGTAATCTTCGGTTCCGGTTCCAGTTTTTCGGTTCGGTTAGATATAAATTCTTATTAATTATAGACAATATATAATACATAAAATTAAAGTACATTATTCTTTTGCGTAAATAAATTTTTTATGTTTAATTGAAACTTATTTTTAGCTTACGCGTTCGTTTCAACCTCTGTCAACTTCTTCCGTTTTTTTACTTTCCTTTTCTTCAACAGTGTAGGTTCAATTATTCTACAACTCTGAACGTATCAGAAGACAAGATTTTATTCTTGGCCATCAAGTCGATAAAGGATCAATCGCCGGCAATAAGGAATGAAAGCATATATGACGTGTACCTTCCAGAAAATATATCTCCTGACTTTAGAATTCTCTAGAGTTTAGATGCTTTTCGTTTGCTACCTATATAAGTAAATTAATTAATGTTAAACCTACGAAAAATTTTTATCACAAACGCTTCAGAAGCAAATGTTTAAGAGCAACAATATAAACCGCATTTCCCTATCACAAAGCGTAACGTGCCTACCCTACCTACAAGAGAAGGACAACCGAAAAATACCGGTTCTTTGACACTGATAATATAACGATAGCGGTATCGATTCGGGTTATCATAACATTTTAAATAACGGTTCCCGTTCCATGTGAGGGGCTTATAAATTAAACCGGTTCCAGTTCCAACCCCTTGTTTCTATAAACATTGACAAATTGAATTATGGAGCGTTACCCGATCGAACGATCAGTTAAAATTGTGGAATTGTTTTACCAAAATGGACGTTCAAAAAAAAGAACGTTTGGTGCCTCCTTCAAAATTAAAATTGACTTGTTCGAGCGTTTCTGGCAAAACTGTCGTTAAGTGAGCAAATTTGGCATTGACTGTTTTCAGTGGACCACTATGTATAATATTGTATTGTAGTGTATGCAGCAAATGTCATACGTGTATTGCGTGCTGCCTACTTCTAATTTGAATTTTCGATGCAACATGGCAGCTGGGCTTCTATTGTCGCCACTGTCTCCACAAAATTACTGTATTTACATAAATGCACCTTCTATTGAGCAGCCAGCGGTATCTTTCAAAACTGTAAAATTACGCTTATGGATTTATGCATACGATGTCACCGCAAAAAATTTAAAGCGAATGAGTGGGTCCATGGTTTAATTAAACAATGGTGCCTTACCTCCTATCATATCATATCACTGTTGTAATAATACCAATAATAAAGGATTCGAATTGTGCAAAAGCCCTTTTGACATCTCACTTAGTTACAAACCGAACTACATGAAATTCAAACTGGGCATAGCTTTAGCGATATAATACGCAATGCCAAAAATTGAGCCTAATCGATTCAGCATTCACGATGCTTTTTTAGCGCATTTTTGCAAATTGCGGATAGGATGCGGATGCGGGATGGTAAAAAACGAGTAACAGCGTTAAAAGGAGTTTGTTTTTTATGTAAGTAGGTACGTACTTATGTCACCTTTCGTATTTACGGATGCTACGTAAACAAAAGACTTTAAAGTTAGTCGTTAAAGGTCAAACATGCCCCTCTTTGCCGTTGGTTATATGTTTAGTGAAAACTACATGACGATGCCAGATATCGCTCCTTAGTTGCTGGTAAATTCGAAAAATTTCGAAATTTTAGTACAATTAGTAATTCTTAGACAGAGCTGGGCAGTATTCGAATTTGTAAATACTTTAAAGTATTCAAATGCTTTGTAATTAAATACTTTTATGGAAGCAGTATTTGTATTTGTAACTCAAATACTTTCGCAAATATTTAGTATTCGAATACTTCGCAAAGTATTCGAATACTTGGCAAGGTATTTGAATACTTCACCAAGAATTCAAATACTTTGCGAAGTATTCGAATACTTCGCACCTTTAAGTTATACAACTGAATACCGAATGATCCTGGAGTGACACTTTTTGACCCGATAGTCTACGTCACTTAAAAACAATAGGGACCTTTCTTATATCCTTAAGACCATGTGTACCAATTTTCAAAGCGATCGCACGTTTCAAAGAAGTTATCGTGCACACTGACAGACGGCCGAATAGAAAAGGATCTATTTCAAAATCGCTAGGATTAATTTCAGAAAGGCGTACGACGTACGATCGCTTTGAAAACTGGTACACGTATTCTTAAAGATATAACTGATATAAGAAAGGTTCGGAGGGCCTGGTACCTGCTATATCTAGTACTATTTTAAATTTTTAAAGTATTTGAGTGACAAGTATTTGAATAATTTTTACGGTATTTGAATACTTTTCAAAATATTCGAATACTTTCTATAGTATTCGTATACCTTTGATAGTATTAGAATACTTTTGAAAGTATTCGAATACGTTTGAAAGTATTCGAATACATTCTAAAGTATGTGAATACTTATTTTTGAAAGTATTTGAATACTTTTCAAAGTATCTGTATTTAGTATTTGCTTGTGCTGGACGTAAAAGTATTTAGTATTCAAATACTTTTGATTTGTCTAAAGTATTTACTATTTAGTATTCACATTCTTTTTGAAAGTATTCTGCCCATCTCTGTTCTTAGATGTGTGGCTGCAAAACTTCAGGATTATCGAACAAAAACAAAATACTAGATTCAATCGCCACCCCACATTACAATATTGTTATTATTCGTACTCGGATTCTTCCTTTGTCCGAGCACCCCCAAACAAATAATACCTACACTTCTTTTTTAGTCTTGAGCGAAAACGCCCAGTATACAGGCTGTTACATTTGGTTTGTAGCCAAAAAAATTGGGCGATAGAGGGATTTTCATAAAGTCATAAATGCTAGCACAAATGTTTCGTTTGAAAGCTACCATTAACAAGTTCCCCAAAATTGCGTTTATATTTTTCTCGAGGATCATAGGACGCATCGAGAACAAGGTACGTCTTTTGATAGTCCGTTTCAGATTCTGTAAAAAAATTGTTACCTCAAGATGGCACACTCCTAAATAAGGATAAAAATAGAAAATGTCTGCTGCGCAGGCGCAGCCTCCATTACTAACGTCGTATTGCAAAACTGTTCGGCAATATTAAAGAACACAAACACAAATTCAGTGAAATTCTGATCACGTTCCTTATCCTTTTGTATTTTTTTCATCCCCATAGATCTTAGATTCTTGATATGTCTTATAGTTCTCGAGAACAAAACTGAAAAAGAAATGCAATGTTGTGGATTTTTTGAAGGGTTTGGTTTGGAAACTCTAAACGAAACGACTCTCGGTTTGAAAGACATGTTTGCTTTTGAACCTTCCATCAACAAATACAACAAATGTAATACCTTGTACTGTGCACGTAAACATACATTTCCAATATTCAAATAGAGGTACCTATAGAGCTCTGAGCTACTCTTAGTCTAGTTCTTTATAGAAAACGGACGAATTTTTTTAAATTTTCAAGGCGTACAGTCTTTAATTGTCAACCTGAAACAATACTGCCTAAAGTAATATTTGATCCTTGTTTTGTTGTTTGCGTTTATTAATTAATATTTCGACCACGCAGTCATAGATTCTTGTGTTGGTCTTTTGTCACAAAGCTCATAGTAATAAATTAGTAAAGAAAATTATGAATATGTTAAAATGCAAGGTAATTAGTTTACGAAGATTTTACCATTTTCATAATATTGATCCATTACAAATACGATAAATGGAAGTGATTGTCTTTATGGGAATTGCACCAAATTAGGCAACATTTAAACTTCATCAGTAAGAGCAAATAAACACTTTTGTTGTAAATGCAACGTAAACATAATTAACGGACAAATTCTCTAATTAAGTTTAAGAAAAAGATAGATAGCATGAACGATTAAATAAATATTTATTCCATTCAAGGTATGCGCCATACGGATCCAATTTCTCTGTTGTTATGATGAAAGGTATTTTATTTCTTTAATTTAAACACAGACAGAACTCACGTTTGACGAGCGTGATTTGTCGATAGATATAAATAAACAATTTTATCTAGAGGGAAACCGATTGTGGAATAGCTGACACTTGACAGGATGAGGACCGAATGCAAACCATTCAGTTCAGGCATTGAATAATAGTGTTTTTATTTAATGGTTCAGGTAAGATTTTGATTTGCAGTCACTAAAACTAAAACAGATCTCCAGTCATTTAATTCAATTAAATTTGCTTTGATTACCTATTGCTCTCATGGTTTAAGAAAAAAACACATTGATTTCTTACAGTTAGCTCAAAATCTTAGCAATAGGTCTAAAAATTTTAAAATTGTTAACCTTGATACAAAAAAGAAACGTTTTGAAATAAAGGGTCACGGAAGCTATCAAGCATACGTATGTAATGATGCAACAAAGAAACTGTAATTTGATTCCAAATAAGTTTATAAAAATAGTTAATTCTGGGAAATGGTGTGGCGAGGAAAGTTTTATATGGAGAAGGTACCAAACTGGTAAGGCGCAGGTGAAGCTCGTGCGTTATGTTTGCACTGCAATTCCGCTTAAATGGGAAACAACGCGTGTTTTCTGTATCGCCATAAAAAGAAAATTAGCAAAACGCGTAAAAAATCCTAAATAGTGTGAGTGGTATCAAAAAACCGAGTGAAATTAGGTTTACTCCGTCAATTAGAACTTACCCATAATTTGAAATGGGCATTCATCCGTTGGTCTAGCGTTCGAGTTTAAGAAATACACGGAACTATCGAGATCAGAATCCGAAATAGAGACGTCGGCCAAATGCGAAAGATACGTGGATGGCATGCTGGCACTCACAAATCACTAACCGAATTAACAAACACCAACCGCTACAAATTACTCTGCATTTCTTTAATTACCAATGTTTTGATCCTACGTAAGTAACGCGGAAACCAATCTTAAAACGCTATCAACTTGTAATAACGAATTAAAATGTATTGAGTTAATGTTAAGCGGAGGCTGGAGGGGATATACTTATGTAGGAGAATCCCCGTTTTATCATATATGTCGATAAAGGCTAATGATGGATTATTGGTCGTTGGTGTCTGCTTTAGTTTCACTAAAAGCAATGTTTTGATTTACTTGTCTAGAATCCGTTCTTTTACTGTTAGAAGTTCAAGTAACTCTTGATACGGGTGCGTCATAGGACTCAATTAGACGTAGGTATTGATAAACCAAATACTTGCTTTATAAATTGAATCAAGAATAAGGTTTAACCATGGGTAGAAAGTTACCATTTTACATCACGGTACCTACGCAAACTTTTGCGAATCTTTTACGCAATCTTTTTGTATTCCGTGTTTCGTGTTCTTTCTGGGGGAGTAAAGCCTTCCCGGAGGGTTTAAAAGTAAATAGGGAATTAAAAGTCACAGTAAACAATGAAATGTCAAACACAATTTAATGCTTATACAGTGAAATGTGGGTACATTGTGGTTCTTGTATTAGAGGCGGAGTAGCTTCCTCATTCGATTTTAAAATAATGATTTCTGCACAGTAGTTGGTAGTTTTCATATAATGGAAATTCTTTTTTTTTCAAATTTTCACTTTAATCACTTTAACATTTAAATTTTGTTCACTGCAAAGCATTTACCGCAAGGCCATAGAGGGTGCCTATTGTTCTCAAATCGTTTCGAATAACAAACTTCGCCATAGTGATTAAAACACACTTAAATTGCTTGATATATATATAACATTCGAATCTAATCCAAATGAGGTGGAATATGAAACAAAGCATTTTAAGTACATACTCAATACTCATCAAATAGGAAAGGTTTCGAGTACTTAATCTAATCTGCCTTTTTTTTACATTGTGATATCGGTACAAGGCAGTTTCCCTCGAATCTGTGGCCGATAGCAGTATTCTTTTTGGCCAACGCTGATGTATGTCAAAAGAGGAATAAACAAAACTTTTCAAATTAATATTGTTTTCAAACGTGATTTGCAATGTTTTTGTTTATCGTGGTTTTGTATGGAAACACCAACTGAGGATAAAGCATGGTTGAAGACTATGAACTACGAACGATTGCAGAACTCATTCGTTGATGGAATAACACTAATACGAACATGATTTTAATATACATAAATCATAACATAACACTGCCTGGAAAAAGGCACTTGCATGTGCCATAACATGTTTAGTTCTTGGCCTTGGCCATAGTGAAAATTGATTTTTTCCCAACGTAATTGGCCATAGTGGTGTGACGTTGTAGTAATGGGTGTCAGTACGAGGCAATTACAGTAGGGCCTCGATAATCCGAACTCACGATAAACCGAACGCCTCTATTATTTGAGCGAGTCCACCATTCGCACATGCCGCTGTCTCATAGAGTATCACGCGTCGTGCGACGTTCCGCCATCGCCATGTCGTGCATTTCTCTACCACTTAAAAATTATAAAAAGCTGTTCAATTTCAATAAACATTTTCATGTTTGTCATCTGATGACCTTCTCATTAGTAACCTGATCGCTTTTATGTGGTGAGCATTGTTGTTTGATGCTTCATGCGCCTCATTTTGGGTATTAAATCACTACCAATCAGCGCGTCGAATTACGAGGTAGTGTGGGGGAGGCTTTGCAAGAGGTTTCACAACAAGAAGCTCATTGTTGAATTGAAAATCACTTGAAGGCATTATGCGAGCTAGGACAGGTCCGGAGGATCACACGCACCCCTAAAGAGATCACTATTGGACAAACTCTTGAACAACGTGCAGGTATTAGTAGTGCTCGAACATCCCACATTTGTTTACATGTTGGTCTACATAGCGGTGTCTAAACTAGAGTCATGTACCAGGGAAAAAGGAGAAAATGCGATGGTGAACGTGGATTTTCAAACTTTCTAACAACTGACACAGTTTATGCAAGAACGGCGCAAAATACTAGAATCAAGAACAATAAAAGAACCAATCAGTCGAACACATATGGGGATCAAGGAAACATTAAACGCGTAGATCGTAGTATGCCTCAGAAATCCAAAGCGTCGTTTGCAGCCGTTCACCCTTCATGTTTGAGTGTCAGGGTGAACAATTGAACATCTCTTCCTAATTGTGACCAATTTAAGATTGCCGATAGAAGAGAGGTTGAACATCATGGTAACATGGATCAATTTGTGCATCAACTGTTTGAGGCCAAATCACTTGGCGTGCTTCTGTCGCACCTCGAGATGCAAGCGGTGTAACGGGAAACACTACACCACACTACATAACCACCATCACACCTTGGTCCCCAGAGGAAAGGCTTTGTGAAACTCACTTCTACCTAGAGGTGGTAAATTCATAGTCTCATTACCATTTAAGTCGTCGACTCAAGGAGTATGACGCAAGGGCGATTCATGGCGTTAGAACGGCGGCTCCAAAGACAGACTTCACTGAAGCATCAGTACGAAGAGTGTATGTAAGAATATCTTGGCCATATGTCTGGCGGATACTCTACGGCACAAGGACGAGTACTTTCTTGCTCGACATTCGATAATCAAAGAAGCCAGCTACCAAGCTACGGGCAGTCTTTGGCGATTCGACGAAGACGGCAACTGGCATCTAATTAAAGATATAGCTAGTTCTTGTTTCAGTCTTTAAGTATACGATGGGAAAACACACCGGAAGAACAGAAAGGCAATCTTGAGACGGGAACAGTATGCGTCTAGCCGTCGAGGAGGTACTAGAAGGAAGAATAGGATACCTCAAGGTTTCGAAAGAGTATAGTGTTCCTCGACCTACTATTGAAGCAAGGGTGAAAAGAGTTAAGCAGGACGTTTTAAACACGAAGGATTCATTCAAAAAAGGACTAGGGCGCGGCGTCATAAACCCGTTATCACCTTGGTTCAAGAAGAGCAATTACTGTTTGTGGACGACGAATTTAGTTTCTGCGGATTAGAATTTGCTCTACCCGAAAACGAAAGATTAAGTGAGAGGTTAGCATATAACAGTATTTATCAATCGTGTGTGTTAGAAGAAATGAAATGTCCGATTTACCGTTTACCCATCCAAGTATGGAGGTTTTTTGCAACCTCGCCGGTGTTGCAATTATCATCGATAAGTAATCATTTATAATTTCCCTTCAAAACCACGCATGCGCAATGGGCAATTTATATTGAGGTAAAGACACGATCGTATACACAGGTCTAGAATTTGGAAACCCTGCTGTTTGAGATGAGGTTCCTCGATCAGCTAGCGAGTGGCGCATGGATCGAAATATGTTTTCAGAATTAGGCACCAAATCGTATAGCCAAAGGTGTACGCGTTGGCAGTAATGGGTCAGGCTATCCGACAGGTACCGGCGTCCTAGCTTATATGCACAGGGCCTCCACCGCGACGACGCAGGTACAAATCCGAGCGTGCGCTGTTCAGGTGTTCCTGACCCTGTTCCGCCAGAGAACGGGCATGAAAGAATGGGTAAAGTTAAGCATGGGACCGGAAGGAACGGTGGTAGGGTGCTGAGAGGGAAGAGTCCTGCTCCAGCATTCGCCTCGTAGATTTCAACATAATGCTAGCATTATGCTAAGCTACGTACGTCTGAAGAAAACCCTCTGACAAAACTCCCGACAGAGCAGTCGGCAGCGGGATTCGAACCTACAACCTCCCGAATAGCAGTCGGAAATGCAAACACTGCGCCACCTTCACAATATTTCAAAACTTAAAAACTACACAGTGCGTCCAACATTTAAATATATGGCATGTTTTAGTTTATAATATGTATATAAAAATACAGGTTGATCACAGTTTACACATTTCTAGAGGTAATTAGAAATACATGGAAATTATAGGTAGAAATTTCCTCATCAAAAACGAACTTTTTGAAATTTTATATCGGGTTTTATAGAACTTTTATGGTACTTACTTTATTGTATTTTCTGAATTAAACACGAGCGCACAAATACATACGGCATAATAAGTAGTCTAGATAAATCAAACTAGCATGCTGTTTATTGCACCCTAAGGACATTAAAACACACTTGAGTTCCTTGATATGTAATATATTAATATTTTCTGCTCATGCAGAAACGAGAAATCTCGCTGCAGTAGTAATCACGAGTTTCACTTCAGAGAAAAAATTATTAAGAATCTCAGATCTTTTATTATATAGTTTTGTATGGTTATCGGGCCTTTTGTCTACCAGTTCGTCTGTATTCCCTATAACTTTTAGTTAAGATACTTTATTAGCTTTTAATTTTTGTCCGTCCGTCCTCAACTCCTCACTCTTTTTAAAAGTGTCCGATCGTGTTGAAATGTGATTTACAAGTACTTTGGACATTGAGGTAGGAAGGTTTTTAGGAAGTTGGCCCAACACTCAACAGGATTCAGGAACAAACGTTCTAGGACTTCGAGTGAATGGGAACAGGATAAATTGTGGGATCAATAGGTATAATAGAAATCAGCATATTTCATTCCCTAGGTCATATATCGAATTCGGATTTTCGCTAGATTTAGATTATTTCCTATGTGTTGAATATAATTCTTCTCTGCGGTCTAAGTTAAAATTTAAAATTTAAAATATACACAAAATTATTTTTTACACATGAGTTGTAAAAGCTTTCAAACGCATTAATGCATTATCTGGACGCCGAAATAGTATGTATCACATGCACATTTGATAACCGTGTGTGCTCCCAAGATCGCTGGGAAAATAACTAAGAACATTATCTCAATGCCCAAGACATAAATTTGATGCAATTTTATGGACGTATATTTTGATCAAACCATGTTCGGAAAAAATACATGATTTTGATTGATTCATCTACTATACACCATTCTGTCCATACGACATCGCAACACGCCTTAAAAAATCGTTCATTCCAAATTTTATATTCTTTTATAAATGAGATGGTCATGGCTGAGGATCCTTCGATATTGCGTTGTATCGGTTTATTTTACTCGTAAACGCTAGTAACACACTGGTGCCGACATAGACTTTATTATTAATTTTTCACGTGCCGGTATCATGACTGAACTGATACAAAAGTTTACGTACATATTATCGAAATCCCCTTTTCTTCTTGAATTTAAAACGTCTAGCTTATTATAGCACAAAAGCTATCGTAACGACTTTAACCTCTTGTGGTTGTGACTACTACTAACGATTAGGTGTCATCTTTACTTATCATTCCTTTTTAACCGTTATCACCCCTTTTACCCAGATAAACCTTAACATTACCGCCCCGCTATACGAGATAGTCGTTTGATTGATGAATGGATTGATGGAAATTTAATAATTTATAAGTAATTGGTTGCCTAATTCTTCGGGAAAGTT